CGGCACCCCCTAATCGCGCGTGCTGCGAACTAGCTGCTCCCGCCCACTTTACTCCACTTTGGCCCTCTAGATGCTCACTCGAAGCTGCCACGCAAGTTCTTCAGTGGCAGAATGCGCTGAAAGGCTGTCTTACATTACAGAGGAGAGATGAGCAGTCGTTTTCTCCCCATCGAGCCTTTGAAACATTTTGCACATACACACAAATGGACACATAAAGTTACTGGTTTATAAAATAGTGATTTTACAGCACTTAGCACTATTTATTACAGAACCCAGATAATCACCGGGAGATAGGTGTGCACACATTAAAGATAATCTTACTCGTTAAAACCGCATGTCCTATAACACGATGAAATTCAATGAAAAGTATCTCGCTAAAAACAAAACGTATGCAACCTAAAAATACATACATAAGGGTAGCTCTAGAAGCAGAGCACTCCGCTGGGTATACTCAATAACGGAAAACATTCCATAGGTGAAAAGATTAAGACATCAGTAGCCGTCATTCGAGAAACTAATATCATAATCAGGATATTTGCTTCTGAAATCCTACAGTCAAGAGTGTCGGCTGACCGTATACCCTAAAATGCTTCGGCTAAAACCAAATGCAAAGTTTGCACTGCAAAGGCCCACTGCAAAAAGAAGGCTTTCAGACCTATGTATTTGAAGCCGTATTTTAGGCGCCTAGCTGAGGTTGTACCTATGCTTTCATGTCGAACCGGTTTCATTAGGAAACAAGATTGCTAAATATCATGATTCTGAGAAGCGAAAAACTTCGGCGAGAAGTATGCGACAATGTATATTAATAACCTGAGAATATAACATGCTACATCAGAATCTTCGACTTGTCTCATGCTTGATCTTGCCACACACCCGACACAGATGCGCTTATAGGATGTCCCGTGATCACTCTTCGACACACAAAGATATCAGAGTGGAATTGCATTGATATACCACGCATCGTATGGTGTTGGTCTCATTGGACGATGTCGGTACACTCAATAAAGCCTTAAAGATCAGGTATAGCTATTTCGCAACACGGCGGTGAATTCTCGTCGTCACTGTTTCTCTACGCCTTTTATTTCGCGGAGATATATATGTGCACAGAGTAAGAGAATAACAACGCCTAAACTCAGAAACAAGGAACTTGTTTGGCATCGTCGACATTCCGCAGTTGAACACTAGAGGGGAAGGTCGTCACCATCAGAACGCTGTTCCATCATTCCACAACTACCAATTGCGCGAAGCAGGATCATATAGCAAAAGCCTGAACGCGCCTTAGTGGTAGGGGAGCTATGGCAGTACAGCGGGAAATACCGCCCGCTAAAGGATGGAGGAAGAAAATCATCCTTTCTGAAAAGGGATTTTTTGCATCCGAAATTAAGTAGGTTCCATGTTCGTAAAGGTTCGGTGTCAATTGTAAAGAGAAGTGTTTGTTATAATTCTCCCGAACCCGAATCTCCCCCCGCCCCCCCGCCCTATACTCTAATGACACCCAAAAATATGCACGCGTTGAACATCGGCACGATCTTTCACTCATGGAATTCAAGCTCATTCGGACTAAACCAAGTTGATAAATCTTTTTCAAGCCAACGTTCAACGCACCCCTCCAGAGCTGGTAAAGTTAGAAGGACCTTCTTGAGAGACCGCATTCATTCGCCAAGACCACACACAACTTAGATGTACCCAGAGAGCTCAAAGGTCACGCTGTGTTATACGTTTTGAAGTCTGCGTACGCCCCACCGAGCGAGTAAGGAAAGCATAATATCTGATCTAGGGGTACGCAGAGTATGATCTAAGCAATGCCAGAGTTTCCGATTTGAGCTGGAGCAAAAGAGCTCGCGAAAACGCTGGCGCATGCTAGATCGATACTTTCCGTCGCTGGCGTACGCTCGAAACGCCATCAAAATGATGTCATGGAAATGTTAAAGCCAACGCCAGAAAACGAAGTCACACGCTTCACCCATAGATGGATTGGCGAAAAACACCCAAGAAACCACTTGCTCGAGCGGCCCCCGGAGGGTCGACCATGTACGTCGAATGAATTCAAAGTTAGGGGAAAGTCCATGTAGAAACACAACAATTACCTTAATCAAAATGTACTTGAATGTACCGGATGGATCGATGTCGACGTTTCTTCACGTCTGCGAGAGGCATGGTGTATTACCTGAAGTAAACCAAACATTTGCACATTCCAGACCAATGTTTATACGAGACGTCTACGAGCGAAATAAGCAGTCTAGTGACAATAAGAGCCATAGTCACAGATTCGATTCGGTCCAGTTTAGCCAGGAAATCAACTTCTAATGGCAGAACCTACCCACAGATTCAAAAAAATATCGCGATGAGTTTAATCCTTCAAACAGTGACCAGGCGGAAATTCAAGTGTATTAGCTGCAATTGCAGTCCCAGTCGCTGATACAGAGGCTAACGCCTCCGATATTTTCAGAGCCAGATACACCCTAGTTCGCTGCCGACAGTTGGGAGTATCAGCCAGTATGAGTGTTTCACCCCCAGAAGCGTTCTCTGCTTTAGCGCATGCGACAAAAAGTGGTAGAAAACGAGTAATACGAAGGATATGATACAGTATTGTCACTTGCCCGCTTCAACAACTGGTGGAGAACGAGTTTGGCACCGCGCCAAACGCAGCCGCACTGACACGCCCAACCGTCCGCAGCGAACTACACTATATATTATCGGCCCCAGCTTTAAATAACTCCAGTTCGCGATGAGTGGTACTATACGGATTACCTTATGAGTAGTACCCCTTTGCAAAGTAGCGGCGCTAATGAGCTCACTAAACCGTGCCCTCGTGATTCCTCCCTCGGAAGGGCTTGGACGTGGAGCTCGGACGACCAGAGTCACCGACTCGCCGAGGAATAGTCCTGCAGAGGAGATGATCTCCATTGAGGGCAAGGCTTGATCGAGGTTGGACATGGAGCATTGGCGAGTCGTCCCTCCCCCAGGGCACATCATTGGTTGGGGATTTTAGTCCTCAGACCCCCTCCCCCCATTTTTTGGGGGGTTGGTACGACCCCCACCCCTGGCCCTCTGTTCCTACTTATCGAATCGAGCCGTCGAGCGGGGGAGGGGGGAGTAAATAGCACATGTGAAACAGGAAAATCACGAAAACAAACCACCACTCCCACGACTCCTAGAAGGCCACAAAGTAAATCGATTCCCCCCACCTCACCCTCTCCCAACAACTGGCCCCTACCTCCCTTTTTATCAGACGTCGCGTGGAGCGAGAAAAAACAACTATCAAAATAAATTTTTCCCGCCCAAATACGATAACCCAATGAGGATTCCCCAACAACGATGTGCCCTGCCCTCCCCACACGGCCCGGCACGAGCCCAAGTCAGCTCGCTCCACATCTTCAGAACGTTAAAACAACTTTCCACGGCTCGAAGGCTAGGCTGAGGCCACTGCCATTTCACAATGGTAACGCGCAGTCCGCTAAATCGTCGGTCCGGCCCTGAGCTGAATGAATGGTGTCTGGCGTTCTCACCATTTCAATTCCTGTCCTCTCATTTCTTTATGCCTGGTCTCTGGCCGAAGGATAAAGCTCGTAGTGCTCCTTCGGCTCTCACTTCCCGACCTTCAATGAAAATCAAACGAAATGAGAGCGAACTTATATAAGGAGTGTTTGCGACATTTTTCTGCTTTCCGCCTCTCTAGAATTTGACTCTAATGGTGACTTTAGAGATATGAGCTTTTCTTTCTGCCTCCAGGTCTGGAGTCGTCGGCTGTAAGTCGCAAGAATAGGCTCTCACTCATGGCAAAATTAGTGGACCTGCCGAACTTCACTCGAAGCGTATTGAAAGGCCAACCATACGTAAGGCGGCAGTCTAAATGCATTGATCAATAATCCCTTGAAAAACGACATGGCTCGTGTTAAGGAGCCATTGTTTATGAAGGATGCCTTGTTTAGGCGGAGCCAACCACCGCTTCCTTTCCGCCATTTATTGTAGAACTAAGGATAGCAGCACTTGGTGGAGAACGTCGTTGCCTGCGTCTCGCGTCCACGCCACGCTCACATGCCTATCGTTTGCCAGAATCAGACTTGTAATGCTGCCACAATAACATCAATGGATGCCTCCCCTCAACGATTGCGCATTGCCTTTATAACATTCAAGTGCCTTTTATTATGTAGCAACACACACGGTAACGGGAACACTATCAAAACTTAAACCCAGCGCCAAATCATTAAGTACTGAATAAATATATTAAATATATCGTTCGTACAATTGTTTGAAACAATTTCTCTTTGGTAGGAGGAAGGACCATCAAAATTTGAAATCTACACCCTGCTTATTGAATACTATGACTACTACTGAAAATCACCGGAATAAGAACTGGCATATGTATGACAACAAAGGGCTACTAATTATGAGAAGTTTCGCCCTTATAATCGGTAACTAACGCTCCAAAGTGCAAGTCTGTCTCACTCTCTGAAAGTCCAAGGCAAACGAAGTGCAAGGAATAGATATTTAGGCCCTAAGTGCCTCGGGAGGGGCAGTATTGCGTCAAAGTCAAGATACTGTGCGGTTTTGGCGTGTATATCATTGGCGCGCGACATGGTGCATTAACTTGTAGTCTATTCCCTAGCAAGCTGATAGCATTGCCACGGTCCTGTGTGAAATGCCGGCGCACACGACACAAACTTTTTACCCCGGGCGATCGCTACGACTTGCATACGGCAGTAATGATACCCCAAGCCTAGAGGCAAAAACTTCGGAGTGACTGAGCTACCGTCGCACATTTCGCAAGTCCAACTTCTCAGAAAATGAAAGCACTATACGCCTGAAAGCGAAAATTCATCGCTGCCCCTTCAAAGGCAAACGCCCGACATTGATTATGGCAATTGCGAGCAGATATACGCGATAATGGTATATCGATGGCAAAGACTATTTTTGTACTACAACAAATAATAAGCTCTGTGAACAAATGAGCCCTCACATTAAGTCAAGAGTAACCGTTGAAGAGAAAAATAAAGCTCTCAATAACCCTCATTCGAGAAGGTTATGTGGTAATCAGGGTATCGCTTTTTGAGGATATCGACTGTTATCGAATGATCTGCTTGTCCAAAACCCTGAAAAACCTTGCATTTAGAAGCCATTTAGAAGCCTGATTAGTAGACGGAAACAGCAGTCGAGTTACCAGGGAAGTCCGCCAACTTACCATGGAACTTTGAATGGGACCTGGGTAGATCGATAGAGTCTATAAGGTTATTTACAAATATAGATAGCAAAACTGCAACCTGCATTTCACAAGCAACTTATGAGCAGGTAAATTTTGTAATGGTGCAGTATGGTGGAGTCTTGGTGGTGAGCTGTGAAGCATAAGCGAGTAATCGCATGCGTCGAATTGAGTCGTCCAACGTCGGACTTTACCACTGAACCAAAACGACTCGATTCAACGTAAGCGATTCCTCGCTTATGCTTCACAGCTCACCACCAATCCTCCACCCTACTGGCCCGGCATTACACCCTTCACTTGCTCATAAGTCGCTTGTGAAATGCAGGTTGCAGTTTTGCTATCTATATTTGTAAATAACCTTATAGACTTCTATCGATCTACCCAGGTCTCCATTCAAAGTTACATGGTAATTTGACGAACTTCCCTGTTTAGTAATGGACCATAATATGACGTTAAAGGGTGTGGATAGAAAATAATTCGAGGAGAATCATGAGGACTACCCTGCGGAGCTAACAGAAGTTGTCAGCTCCGCAGGCGTTGTTGCTAATTGATTAGGCTAGGACTTCACCCCGCTGGACCCACTAATATCCTCCCTGAGGCCTATGAATAATAAAGCAGTAAAAATGGAATTAGGCGAAAAAACTGCATGACCAGTCTATAGAAAAAGGCACTAATTGTAAGTACTAAAAAACTATCAAAAATTGATAAATCACATGAGAATATCCATAAACGAGGATTTCCTTTGCGTCGTCTTCGTGCCGGATCCTTCCACCTCCAATACACTTAAGCGAGTAAGACGGTCCTGCATCTTCTCGAGCAGCTCTGAGGATATCGACATGAAAATGACATTTGTAATATCCACGCACGATGTGCTTCGTCTCCATCGATGACTTGTCGGTGCACTGAAAAAAGACATAAAATTTGTGTGACAGTTATAGACTATTCATTTTCCACTTCAATAAGCACTAGCAAGGTGCAGCCAAATAAAGGTAGTGGTTGAGTGGGTGGGGAGGCAGAGCACAACATGGCGACTAAGAGTGCGTTCACCCTTTCTGAGCGTTTTGAGTGTTACAACAGGGTTTTGAGCGTCTGGAAAAGTATAGGTATCGATCTAGCATTTTGGGCGTACGCCCGTCAGCGTTTTCATGGACCGGCGTACGCTGGCACCTCGATTAGATAGATTAGGAGTAAGACAGATACCCAATGTTCCTAGTCGCTGGATACGTTGGCGTACGCTCAAAACGCTGACGCAGAGCATAAACGCACCTTCAATTGCTAGACGTACTTTTGCTAGTCGCAGTAAGCGCCAATGTTCCTTCCATCAGGTTCATCTTAAGCAAGAACAAAGTCACCCGCAGACTGTGTCGCTTCTTACCTCTTCCTATTGCCCACACGCACTCCATCCACGTTAGCATCCCACTGGTAAAGAGCAGTATCATCGCTATACGAAAATAGTAGATTGTGAGACGAAAATAGTAGACTGTGAGACAAAATTAGTGAGACAGTAGTGAGACTACTGTCTCACTAATTTTGGCTCTCATGAACTATTCAAGTTTGAGACAACAGCGGGAGATCTGACAAGCCTGTGGGCGGGGGGGGGTGTGGAGGTTGAGGGCTACCAGAGCCCGAACGGGAGCAATCCGCAACACTGCGACAGCGCGCGTCACCGACCAGCACGGACGTTAGGCTGCTTCATGCTTTGCGTCAGTGTACGCTGGCCTTTTGTGCGTTTCGAGCGTACGCCAGCGTAAGCGACTGGGAAAGTATAGGTATCGATCTAGCGTATCCCAGCGTTCAGGAGTGAAGAGTGTGTGGAACTAGGAGGGTAGCGGACAGTTCAGTCGGTCGGAAACGGCATGTGGGCCGATCGCGCAGCGTATCTTCTGCCCTGAAGCACATAATTTCAGGGCACAGCATTCGATGGGGATTTTGGTCGAGCTCGTACGACCCCCCCCCCTTTTTGGGGGGTTCGGTACGACCCCCCCCCTTTTTTTGTTTTTTTTGGTTTTTTTCACACAAAAACAACTGACAAGTACCCAGAGCTAGCCGTTCATAACTTTTTCCTAGTTTTAGTGAGCGTTCAGGAATAGCTTCGAGTTGTTATTTATTGTTCCCTACGTGAATCTGAAAAAAATCGAGAGGAAATAAACACAACTCAAAGCTATTTTGAACGCTCACTAAAACTAGGAAAACTTATGAGCGCAAAGGAAAAGGAAGGGAAAAGGAGAAAAAAAAAACAAACAGGAACAATAACAGGGGGGGGGGGGGGGGGATGAACGATAAATAAATGGTAATGGTACGATAATAATAAAATAATCGATAAATTTGTTAAAACAAATGGAAATCCAGTTGTTGTGCGCAGGACCCCAGTGCACTTGATTTGAGGGGCAGAATTTCCGCAGAAATCGTACGGTAGCAGAAGTGCGTGTGTAATTGCAGCTTTGACTGGAGCAAACGGCTATTAGCCATGGAGCGAGAATTTTCAGCAAAGTAGGGTGTCTTTGAAGGACCATAACTTCCTCAAAAGCGGACCTGTGGGGAAGAGGAGAGCGTATTGGTAAATTAGAAGGTTTGATCTTCCTGAAAGTACTAAAATGTTCATGAAGGTCGCGAAAATCACAGAGAAATCTGCCATAGGGATTCGTTGGGGAGTGAAGGGTTGAAGTTCGAGTTGAACAGGTTTGAATCAATATATTTTTTTTGTAACTCAACATTTCACAAATCTGAGAACGGATCCGAGCCCTGTCCCTTCAGCAGATTTTCTCTTTCTAAAAACCTATTGAACTGTTCCTGAAGCTCTCGGGATTCATGAGATCTCGCGATGGGGATTTCTTAGGGAGCACTCCCAGCCGCGCGAAAAAAACCCGTTTCCTGTGCACCGTTTCAAGTGAGCGTGTTCGAATAGCCAGGAACGCATGTAGAACGTATCCTGTGGTGGAGCAGGAGCAGGATATGGTTCGTTTAGCGCCGATCACGCTGACTTTGTATGCGCCGCGCACTGAGGTCCGCGCAGAGGTGATGGGATGGTGCAACTTGTGCGTAATGTCTGTTCACGCGAGCAAATGTGTCTATAGTATTCAGGGAGGTCTATGACGAACCTGTGCACTTGTTTACAGTGTTTTCCCTTGTGGATGATGGAGCGTGTCTGTGTCGACGCCGCCCGATCTGTGCTCCTCCAATTGCTGTCTCCGATAAAGGAGACCAACTGCTGGAAAACGTGTGATACGAACGATATGGTAGTCGCGTCGCTTGTCGAAAAAAATAGGCTGGATCAGCCCCAAGCGCAATCGCGGACACGCCCCATCATCTGCAGCAAATCAGAGTATGCGTTTACTGTTTAGTCATCAACGGACTTACGAGATGATGTCGACTCATTTAAATTCCAGTTATTTCGTATTTTTATAGCTGAAAGTTTTGTCCTTTTTTTCAAATATCCGAGTTCTCTACAAAGTAAGCTTCGCTGTACCGGACTCAGCACATTGACACCTTTGCGCTGCTCGATACTGGCTACGCACTCATTACGACCCCCCCCTCTCCTGGCGGCCAAATACGACCCCCCCCATGGGGATTCCCCAACCAATGCTGTGCCCTGATAATTATGCATCTTGGTTTACAATGTAGGGCAGTTGTACAGCGCGGTTGCACACATCGCGACTTCACGACGCCCTAATTCTAGGCAAGTCTCCTCGCCTCTCAACTTACGCACGATTCTACTCATTCCCTCGGACGCTAGAGGCACATGCTGAACGTTCGCGTAGATCGATATCTATACTCTCCAATCACTGGCGCTGGCGTTTAAAACGCCCTGGGAAAACCGCTCACAACCTGAATGGACGCAAAGTAAATGCCCGCACCCCAAAAGCGTACAACAAATGAAAGGAAGGAAACAAATACCTTGATCAGAATATACTTGAATGTTCCCGAAGGATCGATGTCGACATCTGGAATGTCTGATAGCGGCATGGTATGCGACCTAAAATAAGGAAACTTATGACTTTCGAAAATATCCCATAACTACGCGCTCAATATATTGCTATTACTTATACCTCCTCTGAAAACCGAATAGTTTTAGCATTGTGTGGAGAGTAAAGCAGTTTGGCGAGTGATTCTCAACGAAAGTCTGGTGGAATTAATAGTGTACTTCCACTATCTCGATGCATATCACACGATAGGTTCTACATCAGTGTATTGAACCGAACGCCAATTCATTCTCTCACCAGTCGGATCGCCCGGCTAACGCCAAGCTTCCCTCCTTCTCTTTAGGTGGCTCGGACTCGCCAGGCGCAGCTCATAATGGAAAACGTTCATTCACTCAGCTGCTCATATTGCGCTGTTTTGATCGAAACGTAATAGATGGACCAACCCAAACGTCCAGCTGCTACGTGAGCTGCTTGTGCAGTGGCTCGGAGTGTACTAAATGACTGTCTTATATAGTGAAGGTATCACAATCAAAACAACATCATAGTTTGTTACTTCATTTGGATTACTTTGCAGTTTTGATACGGTTGTATCCTCCTCTCTTGCTGCGTGCTCCTACTCAAGCGTGCGCTTCGCACCCCCCCCCCCCTCACCGTTCCCCCTCATCCAACCTCTTCCCCTGCTTCTTACTCGCGGTGCTCAGGTCCGGCTGAGCACTGCAGGGGATGGAAGCAGCGCGCGCGTCATTGTAACCGCGCCTCTACTCACCATTCTGCCCGCACGAGCACATGTTTGAGAAGAAGAACGAACGAGAGAACATTTTGAAGCTTGGTGTTGTCGCTGGCAAGATGATGGCGCGTAATAGCTAAGGGAAGCATTTGGCCGGCTCAACCCGTATTTTTCTTCTGGCAAGCGACAATACTGTTTCGTATCGTTCGTGTAAGACGTTGTCCACCAGCTGTTGTCTCACCCGCTTCAACAACTGGGGTAGAACGGGTTTGGCGGCGTGCTAAACGCGTCTCGGAATTGCGTGACAAGGGTGTTAGGGACACAAGACAAGTGTCTGTTCACGCCTCTTACATATGTCCACACCCCCCGATCGATAGCTGATAATAGACAAGAGAAGTCTGGGGTCGATGAATATGAAGTATTAGGTTGGCGGGAAAGTTCTGTCACATTTTTTCAAACTAGCTTTCTTTTTATAGAGAGGCGTACAAGATCAAAATTATACAGCAATGTCATTGCGGAATCCCTGCCAGTTTTCGAGCACTTCGTGGATGCCATCGCTTCACAATGGAGGCTGGCACGACGCAATGTTGGACATCATCTCAACTTTGACTTGGGCTCAAGTCGTGGGAGGTTTTCTCGGCTGTGCAACGGTTGAATACAGGAGTTGACTAGCAGCCAGAAAGAGCAATGTCTGGACTACATCATTGCAAGGGGAGAGCCATCCAGCTCCATTGCATGAAGTACGGCTCGAACTTTTTTGACGGGGTGTGCTGCACCAGCACGTTGAAGACGGACTGTGCCGATGGATTTTGCCCTCTGCTTGACGATTCGCTTCAGATCTCGTAGCTGCCTTGCGTACGGATTAACCGAGGAGACAGCTTCTTTATACAGTAGTTTCCCGGCCCACAGCTATCTCAAGCTGAGATCACAGGTACTCCCAAACATCACTTCGCCATTCGCACCGTAGCCTCCCGCTCTGAAGAGCCAGCGTCGTGGAAGATTGTCAGATGACTGTAGACATTGTCCATGTGCAGCTCCGTTATTTCGGCGTCGACAGCTGTCATGCTGGCGCCAGGGCGGTAGAAGAAAGAGTTTGAGGAAGCACTTGGAGGGGTCGGTGCCAAAGGTAGCGGATAACATTCTTGTTCATATTGCACGATAAGGAGAGGCAGGAGTCAAGCCAGTGATACCAATAGAAAGACCATTCTTTGATGTATAAGTGCTCATATTACCGGTTAACGCTTTTCAGAAAATTAGCAAATATTTTGGGTTCAAAAATATATGACAGAACTTTCCCGCCAACCTAAATAGTTGGCATCGCGATCGTGAGATTGATGCTATAGGGAAAGAGAAACAGTTCAGGATCACGAAATGTACCCTTTCAACTGTGAAGAATCTGGCAGATCAATAGGCTTGAGGAGAGGAAATGAACTTTATGGATTATTCTATTCATAGCATTTACATTCACTTTCATTACGCAGAATAGAGAGGCAGTCTTTCAAAATGAGGGGAGTCTCCGAAGACCGTTGGACCGAAGTACTATGTCTCGTCAATCTAGAAAGTCCTTGATCTTTCTCCATGAATTCGAACCTCTCAGCGACTAAGCCTTTATCGTTAGTTGAAGAATCTCTATGTCTAACAGCCATGTAAGTCATAATAGAACCAACAAACTACCCTGCAATAGTCGTGACGAGTGTCTTACTTGGAAAACCAAAGTGTTTCGACAAAGAAGTTGCCGTTGCAAACTTAGTTTTTAGCGAATTTAGCGAAAACATTTGAAGAAGTCCACGAAGCAGAAGCGCGGTGGAGAACGCCTATAGCAATTTGGTCCAACGTCGCAACAAGATACGATGTTGTCGCGCTCTCATAAACGTCTCTGTTAATGTTGGAGACAAAGACATTGGATGACATTATAAATTCCTTTGAAGTGGTTGAAGGTGTTTGATTGCGTCCTTTTATCAAATTTGTTCATTCAAACCGTTATTTGAAGAATTTTATAACGATTCTATGGTCCACAAGACCTTAATGTCAAACGTACATTTCAACGCCAAGCAAAAGTCAGTCGTCTCGCGTCGCGGTCATTGCGCGCGATTGAATGTGGATTCCTGTCAGATGATATTGACAATTAAGTTCTTCTATTACAGAAGAACTTAATTGTCAATATCATCTGACAGGAATCCACATTCAATCGATCAACGCACGCCGCGCAATGACCGCGACGCGAGACGACTGACTTCGCTGGCGTGAAATGTACGTTTGACAATTAAGTTCTTCTTCTGTGGTCCTATTTGCGAAGTTTGCTCATCTAGTTGTTCATGAATCGTGCCGGCTTTTCAATAGAGGATATCCTTATTCACAGGTGTTAAATAAGTGCTCTGCTAGCTGATGAAAACCGCTGGAGCTTGTAGCTGAGTGACTGGCTATCATTTTGTTCATCATGACGGCACTAACGCTTGAGACAGTGATGCGCCGATTTACGGATGTGAGTTTCAGTTTCTGGAATTCCTCAAGGAATAAATTCAAGCTTTTGTGCAGGTACATAGCGTTTCGCAAGAAGCTATCGAAACCATATCCTTGTGGGTTATGCACTATAAAGACAAAAGATCGATTGACATAATTGTGGAAGCCTGGTTAGAGAGTTTCAAAATTGGTGAGTTTTGCTTTTATATAACTCGATCCCCACCTCCTTTTTAGACCTGTTCTTGTTGAAAGACTTGAGCCTTGGTACAAGTAGAGTGGGGGGGGGGGGCGGGCGAGTACAATGTAGTTAAATAGCTTTCTATGCGCTGCGGTCGAGTTTCAGTTGAAATCGAAAGGAATTTGAAAGGTGGTTTTCCATGCGTAACAGCTTGCTGAAGTCACCTGATGGACTGCTTTGCTTTGTGGGAGTTCTTTGATGCAATAGTTTGGGAAACTTATTTGCGTAAAGGGAGTTGTTTCACCCTCTCGGAGCTCTTTTTTTCCACTAGGCCTAGGCAAAATCCTCAACCTCAGTATCCTTTATTTGGTTTTCTTCTTTAGGCGCCCTGGGTTCTCCTCTCCAGGATACCCCACTTTAGTGGTTAAGCGCCTCAGCTGATATTGGAGTTATCGTCTCTCAGCAAAGTCAGGAACTACTTCACTGAACGTGCTGCAATGGAAGGAATGATGTTCAGTACCATATAATTCGAGCGGAATTGGTGGTCCGGATTCAGGACATTAATGTCATGCAGGGGAAGGCTTTTATCTCAAGTTTCTCACACAGAATGTCACGCGGTGTGCAGAGGCTACTGATTAGTGTCTTTCTTCTTCTTATCGCTTGTTCTCCAGTTCTTCAACGGCGCCGTGTATAAACAGTTTAAAGGTGAATCAACGTCATGTAAGTCATGGGCCTTGCCCTTACACCCTTTGGAGCCAGAAATGTTCACCAACGTTGTCTTACCTCCACCAGCGGGTTCGTATTTGACGACGAGACTTGCTTGTGATGTGTAGCCTCGTTCAGGCGCATTATACCACCCCTGGTCGAAACGCGCGTCTGCACCATTATTGAGCTGTTTAGCCTTCCCCTCCCTCCGCCGCCACCTATCTCTCATTGCTCGTCAGTTGAATTTTGGTGGGAATTTGATGGGAAGGGGTAGTTTCGGGACATCTCTCATCGCTCGTCAGTTGAATTTTGGTGGGAATTTGATGGGAAGGGTAGTTCGGGGCCATATTTTCCGTTGATGGTGTGTACTTACACTGCTATTTTACACTTCGTCGTGATGCTCCCTGGCTAGGAGCCGCTCGTACTAGGTTGTGGCTTCAAAACAGGGCGCCTCATAAGTTGAGAATTTGCAGCGAAGGGAGTCGTTTCGCCTTGTGGAGATACGAGGGTTCGTGTTGACCATGAGCATTTTTTTGATTGTTATTGTACCTCCATCAAGGGGGGGGGATGCCGTATTTGCTTGTCGCTTTGAGACGAGGGTCGTATCTGGCTTCGAGAGAATCACTGGAGAGGGAAAACTGAGGAAATTGATAGAGTCGGAAAAGCTTAGAAAGGTGGCAGGTAGGATGGCGGAAGTGGGGAGGAGCGGGTCGTACCGGAGGAGGGAATTGAGGGTCGCATTTTCTGAAAATTTTCCCCAGGGGCCGGAATTGCCCTTGTTCAAAAGCGGGCCATTCAGCGAGATGATAGTTACACTTTTATGCTTGAGAGGAAAAGCTGCTAATGGTGAAAGTAAAACCGAGCCTCATCTACTACATTCCCAGCTGTGATGTATTTCTTTGTGTCATTCAGTATATCCTTGTATGTTTCAGCGAAAAAAGACGAACAGCGCATTGCGTTATTCTACATAATGAACGATGTCGTTCAACGAGCCAAGAATAAGCATATGGATGTGCTCATTCCCACTTTCCAGCCTGCAGTACTTAGCGCTGTGACTATGGGAAAGTGAGTCGGTTAAGATTTTTACCGGTTTATATGAAACATTTTCCAAGCTTTGTACTTTAGGAGCTCGCCAAGTGTGAAGCATGCGATGCAGCGATGTATAGACATTTTCGGCGAAAGACAAGTCTTCACAGAAGCGAGTGTGAACGCCATGAAAAACATGCTCCGTAAGTGTTCCTAATTAACGGTCGTCTTTTCGATACTGGGCCCCAATTGGGCCTGTGAAACAAAGAGCTGAGCTTTGTTCTCTGCAGAGTCTGAAGAAAATGGAGAAGGAGACGAAAGTTATGTCGAGCTGGATTCTGAAGAAGTGTACAGGAAAATAGAGCTATTCGAGCGTGTACGTTCTTTTTGGGCATTTTTTTTGGTCCGCCGTGCATATAGTCTTCTTTAAGGGTCGCTTGATAGTGACTCGTGGGATGGAAGTGATCAGAAATGGCGATTTCGACTGTAGAGCCCTCATGAAGGAGCGTATGAGAGGTAACCTGGTTTTTTTTTGTGTGTAATAAATGCCAACAGGTGTTGATAACGGTTTCGGAGGTTGAGGTAGTGGTAGGGTGCATGCGGCGAGGCAAGACAGAGATGACTCTAATCGTTTGATTTTCCCTGACGCCGCCTTCATACTTAGCTTTATTGGAAAGTAGGGGAGGTTCCTGCTTCGGGAAAGTTTGAGCATCTATTTGGCGAATCGCAATGGGAGTTGATTTTCCCATCTACTTCCATTCTTCCAATGCTATCCTCTTACTCTCCCAGTTCGCCAGATCGATGCTT